TTTTTTTTTTTTTTTCTTCCTTTCTTTCTTTCTTTTTAATTCGAGCAATTAAGGCAGAGATAAAGTTTCGAAAGTGCTTAAATTCTAAGGACGCATTGCGCACGGTGTTAACTTCGAGCCGCGATTTAGCTGCAGAAAAACTCTGAAAAATGCTTTCAGCATTTGAAATTTAATTCGATCTCAAGTGCGTTGAACTTTCACCTCGTTGTGACTTCGATAACGTCTTCCTATCGAGAATCGAATATTTGTTCTCGTAACTGAAGTACCCACCCCGTCCCGCTGTTCAGCCGAATTAAACGTAATATGAAATTAAAATTTTCATCATTTTTCTGTGCTCCCCGTCGAAACTTTATTGACTCTCTCTTCTTCGTGGAAATATTCTGACGACTTTAGACAAAATGCGGCTGATTCGATCCACGCGATTTGTTAAAAATAATATCGAACGCTATCACTTTTTTAATTTTTCTACATGTTATATTTTTCTATATATTATAGATTAATTTGTTTGAATTTGATTTAATTATATTGAATCTATGGTGATTTATGCCTCTAAATTTGAGTGTGAAAGCATCACATTTTTTTAAATCAATTTATTTCTAATCGAATTAAATAAAGATTAAGTGAAAGCATGAATAAGCATCAAATTCTAAAATTTCGAGATTAAATAAATATTACATAAAAATTAAGCATAAAATTCTAAATGTCTATGTAAGTATAAAATTTAATCGTAATTCTCATTTCACATTCTTCGTGATAAAAAAAATTCGATAAATTAGATAAATCAACACAGGAAGAAATATTAGAAATTATCGCTTGTCTTGCAAGTCGTACAACGCGTTTAAGCGATCAACTTTCAAAATGAAAGTAACTGAAGATACTGGTTGCAGGATAATGATGGCATTACGTATGAATTCCGAGGAGGCAAGAGTCATTTGAAGAGTTTGATAGATAGAGATTGGAAGATTTTAACGTAGCAGGAGTATAGATTGCACTGAATCAGCGATTTAAAATGCTTTTCTAGCAGCAATCTCGGCGTTCCAATAATGCGTTGTGCTTCCATGCAACAGTAGACAAAACGCATTGTAGAAATTGCGTTCGATGCACGATCGTTGATAAAAGTTCCCTAAGATTTCCTAGTTTCCTAACACCAAGCTTTCTCAAAAATAGCATGGTGATAGCATTCGACAATATTTTGCTATTAAATGAATAAATCTAATAAGATATAGTAATAGGTATAAAAATAAAGAAGAAGAAAAAATACCATCATGTGGTACACAAATACAATTGAATATTTTGAATTGAGAAAAAAGATCAACCCTCCATTGACAATCTAGGTCGTACATATATTCCCCGTTCACTCGTGAAACTTTTATTCTTCCTGAGAAATCTTTTGAAAATACAACTTAAGAATTGACTGTATAATATAGTGAAAACTTCATTGAATAATTCAAAATCTTCTTCAAAATGATTTTAGAAGTCTGACAGTAGAAAGATTAGGAGAATGCAGTAGTATACTTGCTGAGAAGTTGATGAAAGGTTAATTCAGTAAAATTTAGAAATTTCGTTTGTATGTAAACCACATTTGTAACATATATCGATCACAACAGTAATTAATTAATAATAGTAACTTATAACAGTAATTAACTATATTTAATTTATCAGTAACTTATAATAATAATTATAAATTATAATTAGAACTGTTATACAATTTTAGTAAAAATACTATGTAAAAATTGATTTCATTGGATCTCGAAAATCACAGCATGAATTGACGACTAATGGCGAAAATCTCAATATATATCTAGCTGATGCGGAGTTACTTATCCCAATAGAAATGGAGAATCGATTTTAATTTTCATAAAAATCTTCTGAACCGAGGAATTTATTACTTCTATGCTGTATCCTTCGACTCAGTAGCATAACATAAGAAATGAAAGGATTGAACGATTGATACAAATGAATATAGTACTTACCTCTTCGGGATGATCCTCTTGGGGCGAAGCGACCCTGAGCAAGGACAGGTCCTCGGGCGTCGAGGAGAATTGGACGGTTGCTCTGACGGTTCTCCCCCAGGGGTCCTGGTGGTTCCTCCTGCACGTGTGAGGGTAACTCGGCTCGCCAGCCTCGCCGATCAACTCGCGTCTCTCCACGCGAATTTCACCGTCCGACAGAGTCTTCTGCAACGGTAGGAACCTCCGCGTCGTCTGCGACATCCGGTTCAAAAGCGCGCGAGCGTCCGGCGACACGGGCGCTGGCTTGAAGTCTATAAGGATCTCTTGGTCATCCAAATCGACGGACCTTTGACGACCTGGGGACTATAAAACGACGCGATTCAATGTGAAATCTCGTGTTCGCACTGCTTTACTTACTATATATTTTGTAATATATTATTGCTACATTTATAATATATTATCATGAATATATTACAAATATATATTATGTATTTATAATATATAATTGCTACTATTATTACTAAACTGCGGATTTTTATGTATTTTTTTTTTTTTGTGAATATAGCTAACAATTTATTAAATATCATATTTTACTGTATTTTAGATAGTTAATATTTTAGAAGTATTGTATTTTAGATAGTTAATATGCTTTTACATATTATGCTACGTATTTTCGTATCTTCATATTCTTTCAAATCTGCAGCTCAATTATTACATAATACAGTCGAGGATCGATAACTCGGAACCTCTGTAATTCGAAAAGTTTCCTTGCTTTTTTTTTACACAGTTCGAAATGCAAAAATCTGATAACTCGAATTATTTATTTATAACTCAAATTCAGCTTCCACAAATTTGTATTTTATACAGTGTATACAATGTATACAATTATCATTACACATCTATGGAATCATTGGCTCTGCGGCATTCAATTGTTTATAGTCTATAATAATACGCGAGTATTCATCTCCAAGGACATATACTACAAAAAAATAAGAATATATGTTCTGGGAATTTGTCTTTCTCTGAGCTAGCACAAGTTAAAAACTATATATAAAAATCTAACAAGTCTCTATAAGTCTCTATTTTCGTTTGTTAGATCTCTTTTACTCGAAAACTCGAAAAGAATCTCTAACTCGAAGATCTTTGCTCGAAGAATTTAACTTAGCAACAAGGTTCGTTATATTATACATTATACATACATTCATGCGACAGATTTTAAAAATTGCAATTAAAGTATCTCCTAAATTAATAGTTCTTACAAAGAATGTATCTAACTATATCAACTGTATTAAAAATTGCGCCAATGTATTTAAATTTGATGTATTTAAAAGCTGACATGTTTAAATATCATTTAAATAAATGAAATTAATCTTCACACAGATTTTATGTGTCCATAGGAAGAAGTGAAATCACTTAACTTTTATCTGACATAATCTTTCACATCATCCACAGTTTTGAAAATACTCCAGTGATTCGATTTAAATGGATTATCTTGTATGTATGTATATTATTATTACAATAGAGATTCTCTGAACTATATAGAAATTTTCGAATAATAGAATAACCACTTTCTTGACATTAAATTACATGTATTGTAGCTTGTTTTAGAAGACTAAAAAAGTTGTATATTATTGAATTATTTAATTCAATAATTTCTTAGTACACTTATGTAACGTTAGTTTATCTCGAGACTAGAAATATAATAGTTTCTAATATGATAAGAACATCGATTGCAAATCTATTTATTTAAAAAAGTCATTACTTTCAAAATTTCAATGTATATATTTCAACAATAACTATATCAAATTTCATTTTATAATGAAATAAAATTTCCAATTTCTCCAATTTGTCCCTACAAGAGTCTCTATTCTAATCACTTATTAAATTATACTTTCCTCCTGCAATTTTTCATAAACATTATTACAAATATAAAAGCCTCCTCTCGTGAGGTATGTCATGTTTCTGTCAAACCCGAAGCATAAAGTTTCGCATGAAACAGCCAGTAAAACGGTTCATCAACATATTTCGAACGTTGTGACGGGCATGTCGAAGATAATTAGTTCGCGTATCTCTTTCCATGCCAGCGTGTTAATTAAAATAAATCCACGCTCACGGAAAAGTGGCAGAACGCGAAATAACTAACGAACAGGGAGGACGCGTTTGCATCGGGCGTAACACATCAGAAAATGACGAAACATCGATCGATACGTTAATATCCGTAACAGCGTTCCGCGTACTTTAATTACACACACCGCCCACAAGCTCTTGGCCTAGCGTCGCGTCTATTTTGTTAACCAGATAGCAATTCGGTCACGCTACACCGGTATACAATCTGCTACAAATAGTCCAAGTTTCATTCCTGTTCTACAGTTCCTATTAATCGACAGTGTTAATCGATTGTCCATAGAATCCTGATGATTTATGCGAGTTACACCCTGCAAATAAATCGATTGATCACGTACGACGTTCGTCCATTCACTTTGCATTGGTTGGCAGAAGTTTGTGATTTCTTGTTTCAATCTACTGACGAGATACGCGCAAAGGCGAGTTTTCGAACCCTTTCGAAACACTCTGGGTCAATGGAAATGACGCAGAAGGCTTTCCAGGTAAATGGCGAGTCAAACGATCGAACTTTCTGTGTACAGTCGTGTCGTAGAGACCTGTCTTTGAAATATTTAACACTGGCAGAACACTGAGGAAACATTAATGAACACAGCGCGGTCGAAATTTTTCTCAACTCGCAATTTTTCGGAGAAATTTTATGGATCTACGCGCAAAAATGACTTCTCGTGAAAAATAGATGAGTTTAGAAGTGTTGGCAACAAAGTCTTCAGGAACACGTCCATATTCATCAAGACATCAAGTTTTGCTTGTTTTAATAAATACTACACGATCTTGAAGTTTGGTAACAATTTTTATAAACGTCTTATAGGTAAAAAGCTTATGTACATTTTTCTACTTTTAACAGCCTAACATGTTAATAATAATATAATTTTAAAAAGGGATTTTTAGACGTATTGAGGATTTTAATTAATTAGACTATTTCTAAAATATTAACAATGTTTCTTACACTTATTTAAACCTTACCCTTGATCTTATGAAAATCTGCACATGTAGGTATTATACATATATATATATATAATAAATCATTTCTAATTTACATATAGATATAACTAACATTATAGTTAATATCCATTAGTATAAATAAAGAAGTAACAATTGAAAATGGTTGGAAATTAATTTTGCAAAGACATCTTATTTAAATGTCTTCAAGTGAATGTTGAAGAATTGAAATACGTGTTTTTAGTCAAATTCAAAAAAATTTCTATATTTGACGAAGCGTCAGCCATTTATTAAAAACGAATATGAGACTTGAGTGATACATGATATTTCAGATATTTCAGATTTTAAAGAGTATCAGGATTGTAGAAAATTGACAATAGAAAAATATTCATCGGTCGAATGTTCAACCTTCTGATGGAACTGAGAGTTCAATTGTTTATGCATAATAGTGTACATACTATAGCATTTGGTAGTATTTGGGGAAGGTGAAAGAAAACCTTCGACATTATATTTGAAGCAAAATTAAAGATAACCTTTCTCAATGCATACATCAATTAAAAGTAACTAATAATAATAATTATATATATATATAATTACACAACATACATAATATTAATAATCTTATATAAATACATAGATAGATAGATGAATAAGAAACAACTGTAACAATCCATTTAATCATGAAATTGAATAATCTTGGAATTTAGTTGGAACAGTAGAGAAATTGAATCGTACAGAAATCATCACTTCGATAATTAAATACACAATATTTTGAATAAACAATTGAGTTTCATATGCGTAAACAGAGTCATAAACAATAACACTATAGAACATAATACGATTCAACGTGATTTTATCGAGTGGCTCTGATAATTTTTGCTTAACCGGGCGTTCGAATCGTGTACGATTTACACGAGCCGAGATGGAGGGGCTTAAATTCGACGGAAAACCTGAAGCAAAACGACAGATGATACACGGTAATCGACGTGCAACGAGGACCGAGTCGGGAGTCCGGCCGGAAAATCGAATCGACGAGGGGTTAATCGATACCCAGGCTGGCCGCTGCGAGAGCAGCGAGATTTCATACGTGAAATTGAATCGGATGGAACGTTGGCGCGCGGGAGACGTTTGATCGTACGCGGAACAACCGCGACCTGCCGCGAGTAATTCGGCAGATTTTCGAACCGATTCCTTAACCACCGTTTCGAAATCGAAATTCGTGATATCCTCGCTGGCTGTGAACCCAGAGAGTGGTGTCAAGTAGCAGCGTACAGCGATTCGAGTATCGCTAGCCGAGTCTGAGCCCATTCAACTGCTACTCTGCTGCTCTCCAAGTAGCAGAATCAATGCGATTCGAGCCGAATAGAGAGAGAGAGAATCAGTAATATTCCAATGTGAATCCAGTCAACAGACCCCTATATGATTGCTCCGCTATCAAAGGAATTTCCTGCCGAGCACTTTGCCTGCCGAGGACCGATCAATCCACGAGGACAAGTGGCATAGCGCCGCGACTAAAGCCATTCCTCCAAGAAAAATTCAATTTGCCACGGAGGTGGCTCGCATCCTTTGCTTGCATCCTTTCCTTTTTTTTTTTTCTTTTACTTTTTCTTGGTCGTCGTTACGTTTACGAAGAAAGGATCGTGGAACACGTTGCGAGTGAGCTTTCTTCCTGGGTTCAGGCGTGACGTTTCAGGGGAAACTTTCACCAGTCCAATGTAAGTGGATTTTTGTTGGTGAACGATGGCGAATCGAATACTCGAACTTTTCGTCAACGTGTAGTTTGACACGCCGACAACGAATTTGCGTGGAAATGAGGGAAAATACCTGGCTGGAGTTTCTATCATTGCGCGAGCTGAGAAACACAGCAGCGAATCTTACATTTTCCCAACTTAATTTGTCCTTTGGTGTTAAATTGAAGTCTCAAACTTGTATAATGAAGTGACAAGTAGTTGAATTTGCCATTTTCAATAAATAGACTAAATTTATATATTATGCATAAGATTTATTTTTTATACTTTCAAACAAAAAATAAAAAGTAAAAACCCAAAACAAATATATAGTCAATGTGTAATATATATTAACTATGATTATATTGATATATAATATATATTGATATATTATTAATATATGATATATATTGACTAAATTTATACATTTGTTTTTGATTTTTACTTGTTACAACTATGTTTGAAAAGATAGATAGATTGAATACACATAATAATAATAATAATACATAACCACATAATAATAATTATTATTATTATAAGACAATGTTAAGTATGTTAAGTACCTTGAAAATGAATATTATTTGCAATCTTAATATATTTTGTTCAAAATACATACTATGTGTATGTTTGAAAAATCGATATCACAAAGTCTCACCTCTATATCGAAAAATAAAACTTACGTGTTGTAAAATGATACAACATTTTGTAAAAGAAAAATATTTACTAGAGAATACATGTCTTTTTCAAAATTGCAAAATGAACTCACTATTCACAGAATTATTAGGTAGAATATTTTATTAAAAAAAAACAATAAAACGTGTAAGATGTCCAAATCAACGATAAAGATGTCGTAAAGATAAATTTTCCACAAATTTAAATAGTAAACGGAGAAATACAAGGATAAGAACTTATAAAATATAATATATCAGATTAGAATATAATGCAATTATAATAGAAT